GAGCTATGACAGCACAAATAAATGGACCTTAGTACCCTGTAATTCTTTTGACCCCTTTCACGGCAGAGGTTTGGTGTTCGACTGACAAGAAGCTGATAAAATCCCAAGAGAAAGATCGCCATCTGATATACTGTTCTGAATTTTTATCTTGTTTTCACCTGCAACAGTGGAAAACTGGTGAGAAAAGAAACGTTTAAACAAATAATGGAGAATTGGTAAAAGTTGGCTTACGAAATCCTTTGCTTCTGGTGGACACGAGGGGGTAAGGTGATGAATAGCACTTGGAGAGGGACTATTTCGATTCAGTGAAAAAAGGAGAGGGCGCATGGATCGTAGGAGGAACCGGATTTGTGATCAGTAAAAGATGGTCCTCCAAAATTGTCTTTTGACCTAGCCGAAGTAGCCAAAACTGGGCATGTTATGCTTCCAAAGAAACAAGAAAAAACCTTGATAATCGTCCAGATACTATAGCCAAGAAAATAATTCTATCATGAATTGGAATAGGCATTACTGTCAAAGTCCATGTATACCTTCTTCATGCGTAACTTCAATGTCAAAGTCGAAAGAAGATCCCGTTAAACGTTTGTCGATATCTACGGCGCCGCAGAGCGAAATAAGCAAGGAAATCGGCCGTTGACAATGGCAGAAAAGAAACTTTGGTACATTGATAGCACTTAGTTCAAGAAGAAGATTAACAGGAGGTAAACATGGATCGCGCCGAACGCAGTGACGAACAACGAGATGGACTTCGTCTTGTTCGGTAAACGCTGCCACATCCAAAACAGCAATGGTGCCATCATTTAACGTCATCATTGACCAAAAACTGGTATCATGCAAGAAATAACTATAATCTCTTCCGGGAGCAAGTGAGCTTAGTTAATGCAGAGATTAAGCAAATGAGGTTAGTCCTGTTGGATCAATTGGCTCAGCGTAATCCATTTACTCGAACCCATGACCTTCTCGCATGGACGCTAAAGCATGGCATACGTCGACCGTGTAATATGGAGGAACGAGGTAGAGGCATATTCTTCTCCATGCCTTTGGAGAGGGATATTTTCTTTTATGATGCAGTAACCGGTGCCTCATAACGAAAGTATTGGAAATCTGCCAATACAACGGATATCACAAACCAGAGACGTTCTGATTATGCAAGCGGCTCAAGTTAATAATCATAAAATGCGCCAACAGACTGATGCAGACAAGACTAACCTTCGAGGACAAGATCCATATGAAGGCACTTCAGATGCCAAATCGCAGACAACGACCAAAGGCATTCGACGACACGACACTTCTCGCAAGGGCTGGAGCCTGAAAGGCAGCTGCGACGGCGACTACGAGAAGTCAACTTAAAAACTGAGGTACTGAGTAAATTCAGCCGAGGTGGTAACATCAAGAAGAGTGAGAGGAAAAATCTCAGAAGAGACTAAAAGTTTGCTAGAGAGGATGAAAAGAGATGAGACCGAAAAGGTGGAGGGCTCTTCCATGCAAGTTCATTAGATGGAAGCTGAAGAAAGACTTCATCTGCGAAAACTAGAGAAAACAGTCGCCGGCGGCAGAAACCTCAGACAATGTTCAGCGGCAGAGAGAGTTAGCGCCGTATCAATCGACCGTTACTGCATTGCGAAACGAGAACGGCGCATTAATGTCTGACAGAACCGAGAATCAGTCTATCTGCAGGAACTTTCAAGCCCAGCTCTTTGAATCAAAGACATGCGTCCTCCATCATCACTCCAACAATCAGACGGAAGTGCGCTCCCGGTCCCCATAAGCGAAGTTCGAAGGAAGGATAAACACCTGGGAGAGACGGTCTGGCAAATGAAACGATCAAAGGGGTTGTCAAACGCTGCGGAGTGCCCTAGCGTAGAGACTCAATTAGTGTCTGGAGACGGTAAAGGTACGAACGAACAGAAGAAAGTCAAGAACATTCTTACTGTTCAGGAAGATTTGAAGAACTATCTCCCAATCTGCCTGCTTTCACTATTCTGCAAGATGTTCACCAAGACAGTCATCAACAAACTGCCAACAAGCCTGGACGTAGAGCAGCCTAGAAAACGGGCAGAGTTCAGAAGGAAAATAAAATTTTACAGTGAATTAACATTTTGCTGCTTAGGTTAACAAAATTTTATGTTCGAAACCTTCGCAAAAGCTGACGATTGCAGAATCATAATACAATTTGCAGGTTAAAAAATGACATCATGAAACTTGTATAATAAGTGAGTTTATCGACGGCTGCACAAAAATCCTGCCGTTTTTTGCATATATTGTCTATTGCACTCAGCGGTGTAAATAAGATACTTGTAAAATAGCGACGAAAAGTTGGAAACAGAATTAATTATTCATTAACGAACGAAAATTTAGAATAGATTCTTAATTCCAAAGCAAATTAACCAAAACTGTACATAGAATTTGCAAAGCCGTCGCTGTTATTTGATGTGCCTCAAATTTAACGCATAAAATTTTCCATAACTAATTTAATTATTCTTGACTCGATTGCAGAGATACTAAAGCTAGATTCTGTCATGTGAAGCAGTGCTGAACGACGGGTGGTAGAAAAGTTTCAGTGAATGCGTGTTTTAGCGATTGAAACAAAGTGACCAATAATCATGTGCAGATTTATTTCTCCCAGCCACTTATTCTGCTAAAAATGAATAATAAGAACTCATGAGTGCATAAGTTTTTATTAGAATTGGCGAAATCGTTCGCACGTTAGTCTATGTTCTGCATTTGTTTCTTTTAAGGATATTTCTCCTCTGTTGCACATTCAGTTATAAGTTGTCGAACCATTTGGTAATTTGTGAAACAGAGGCAGTGCGACTCAGACATTCAAATTTAAGCAATTATTCTGCCCTTTGTCGCAAGTAAGTTGCCACCACCCGTTGCTTTCCCTTCCTTAAAATGGTTGAATTGTTCCTTTCACTGACCTTATCTGTACACGGTTTATTCACTTCTAATTTATTATAGATGAACACCAGCAAGAATTAAATTTCTGGACTGGTACTTATGTGGCTACCGTTTCACGAATCCAAACTCACCACTGTGGAGAGTGTGCAACGACCAGTGGCGAAATATATTTTCAAAGCGTTTCTCGTTTGGGAACCATGGCCGTAAACTTGTTAGAGGACAATGCAAAACGTGGAAGAACCTCGTTGAAGTGATCTACTCGCGAATTGGAGTACTACCTACACAGTGTGAGCTGCAGCAGTGGACCAATCAATGGGAAGAATCATGTTTACCAACGAGATGTCATAAATCTTGGTTACACTGCCGTTTAAGCTGTGGTGACCTCAGATGATGACAAACAACATCAACAGCAAGATTCGAGCGAAGCACATTAGAAGACATGTTTTTTAAGCAAGAACCTTGAAATTTTCCGCAAATGAGGCAATAATAATAAAGGCTTACAAGCTTATCTGCGCCATCACAGCACATGCGTTTAGAAGGAAAAAAACACTGAAGAGATGAAGACGATTCTCGGCGACGCGTCTTTGTGCCAGTTAATTCACGCAATGTAACATTTAAAACGCTTCATCCTCCAATAGTGACCATTGAGCTGCGTGTATGACTACAGCAGAGAATGAATAAGCGAAGACAGAATATCACTGATCAAGAAGGAGAACCTTCGATCTGAGAAAGTTGTCTGAGGTATTGGATTATGCTGTCTGCTCTCTGGACAGTTTAAAATATTGACTGAAGAAGTGGCACAGTAATAATCTTTAACGAAAGTTCAGAATCATTAATTCACACCGAGTCAAGTGCTAGTCATATCGTTATGCTCCTAGATGCTGACCACTGTACATATGTCACGCTAAGCTACCAATTCTAGGTCGAAAAGTCGTCACGGTGACCTGTTACTAAGAAGCAGTGTGATCACCTTCAGCAACAGCAGCTATCCTTTACAAGCGACATTCATGTTCAAGGCTATTTGTCTGCCTTCATCATGTTCTGACAGAATGACTTGTTTGCGTGTTGCATCGAGTTTAACTACAACTGCGCCATCGCAGATTCTATGAAAATTCACAGAACTCCGTACAGTAGCAGACTGTAATCATCATCATCCGCAGTCGACCCGCATCAGGGTCGTCACGGCAGAAAGTTAACGAGACAATAGGCAATTTTATCTGAAAGTTTTAGGTTGAAGTTCTGCGTGTGATATCTGCCTTCATTTACTTACTCAGTGTAGCCTCGAACAATCCAATGATGCTTAATACGAGAATTGAAAAACGTCTAAATAAAACGTCACTGGAAAAGTTGACTGAATGAACAGTTCGTTTCGTCATTTTTGATGTTGTCAATTAAGGTAATAAAACGCTGCCACATTTTAGCCTTTCAACATCAACTTTCATAAGTATTTTATTTATTTAGCGCTTTCGGTTGTGAAATCAGACACCTACTAATTCTTCAAGTAACTAGCCTAAAATAAAAGCTAGCTTCTAATATAACCTGTTGCAAAATCATTTTCGATTTGCAAATAGTCGTTCCGGAAATTAGTTTTCCAGAAACCGATTTGGAACTTTTGTACAGCATACGTGAACAATGGCTTAATGGTTGAACGTACGCTTAAGCAGATTATCAATAATTAATGTTATTGTACCATAAGTGGCTTCAGTGCGCATTTACTTACTAGGATCTGGTATTAGACGAAACGAGGTTCATTCTTTACCTTTTTCAAAAGAAGCTGATGCAAAACAACGTTCTGTTTCATTAACCATTTTGTTAACTGCCTCCGCTGACCGATGATGATGAAAGTTAATGTCCTTTTGATCATGACATTACTGTCGCTATAAAAGTTGCAAAGCAATGATTTCCCTTATATTCGCATCGAAGGCCGTGGAATCAAATGGCAGTGACTTAATAATTAATCAAAGGAAGCGAAGACCAATATCTGAAAATGTTTTAATAAATCTTGCATCGTAACATAAATTTCAAGTAAAGAAATAACTTTCTTAATATTCGAATGGAAGAGCAGCACTCGCCCCGATTCTTCGGAGTTTAAATCAGCGTCAAATAATCAGTGCTGCGCAGCCGTTATTCTGATGCTTGGCGAGTAGCGACATTCTAGAGAACGTTTTCTGACATATTCGGCAGAGGTACTTCTTCATCTGCGAATGAGTCTGTAGGTGAGCGCGGAGGTTACTGCGGTCAGCGAAAGCTCGCCCGCACTGAATGCAACGGAACGGCTTCTCGCCTGTGTGAGTTCTAATGTGACCTTGCAATAGCCACGGACGACTGAACGCTTTGCCACAGATTTGGCATTTGCACGGAAGTGTGTGCGTGCGAATATGCATTTTCATTGCCCTATAATGTTATAGACCAAACTTTAACACTGACACGTCATCATTCAGTCTGAACGTTGGTTCAGTAGATTATTAACAAGAAATCACGGTACGTCCCAGAAATGAAATTACCGTTGATTCATATTTCACTAGCCGTACTTTTACCATAAGTGGCTTTTGTGTACAGCAGTGAAGTTTCTCCATCGCGCCTATTACTACAAAGCATGTTTATGCACAACAATGCTTCTGATTTAGCACACATCGGCTGTGCTGGAGTGATTGCTCTTCCATAACAGAGACATGACGAAGCTTCAATGTTCGACGTTCAACTGATCAACTTTGCCGTAAAAAAGGCTTCTTCTGACAGGAAGCCTGCAAGCGTTCGGCTTTATGTATCACGACGAATTCTGATTTTGAAGGCCAGAACATTGTAAATGTGTAAAATTTGCTGCCTGAAATTTGCATATCCATATACAGCTGCACTGCGGCAAAAATGTCTGATGAAGTACTGAGGTGTCTGATAAACAGCCAGAACTAGTTTTGGTTTTCACTGTATGTTGTTAACTTCATCATCAGTTAAACAATTAGCCAAGGAAACGCTCAATGTACACCAAATTGCGAATCTGATGATCATGAGAACTTTCCAAGCGATGCACTCCGTGGCAAAGAGGAAACCGAAATGAGACCAAAAATAAGGGAATCAGTTGGGTGCGTGCAATCGAATAAGCTTGCATGATAAGTGTCGTCCTAGCTTCCCATTACTGTAATCAGCCAACGTACCATGAATTCTACCAAGATCGAACGGTCTACTAAATTTCACAACTTTCTCTTTGAACTATTTTTTGCTTCTATTTTGATGTGGGTGCCTTACTGCATAATTCAGGCCAACTAAAAGAGATAAGGAAGCTAATTAAACTTGGTCACTGGAAGACTTTGGTTTGTTCTGCATACAACAAATGATACTACGCTAATTTTGGTGAATGACATCGAAAAGGCATGCAGTAGGTCAAAACATCTAAGTACACTTTTTGGCATAATTGGTACATTAGCATAGCAGGAAACGAACAAATCCTCTTACCCCAGTGAAGAATATTGCTTTTCGCAAAATTTGCACCCAAACTGGCGCTTAAGCTGAGAAAGGCAATGAAACTGGCGATGTTTCGATAAGCCGTTAAAGGTAGAATAGCTGCGGTTGCAGTCGGAACAGTGCAAACGTGGAGCGTTGGGCTTCTGGACTAAAATTTCGCCTTTCGTCGGGTGACAGTAATCACGTTGACCGATTGGAATAAAAGCGTTATTTTCTACTGACGAATTGTTCAAGCCGTTAGACTGATATATTTGCAAATCAGGCAGCAACAACGGCAACACAGGCTCTCGTTCAGGCATGGTATTTAAAGACCTACAGACCGACGTCGAGGTTATGAACTGTGCATTCGGCCAGTATAAACCAAAAAGCTCCATCGGGTGGATTTTCGGAGGCTTAACTGAGAAGTACAGGTTGGAAGTGATTTCCTTTGGTGAAGAGGTGAAGGTTGTTAGTTTCTCAGCCGAGGTCGCGAAGCCAGAGGGCATCCATGTACCTTGCATGGTCAGCAACTGATGAAATAATGAATTCTTTCTAGCTTCTTGGCCTGAATCACATACCAGCAACGACACATCGCTCGTTCCTTCTTTCCTGAACTCAGAGATTCCAGCCAAGTTCGTAACTTCTAAATCAACGCAAATATGTACAGTTACAGCGGCGA